AACGGATTCGCCATGAAAAATGGTACTCTCATTGCAGATCAGATACCTCTGCAATGGTGCATGATATGAACTTACTTTTTTGATACAAAGGAACAAAATTTCTACACAATGCGTATGGATGTGGGTGGGTGTGGGTTTGAGTGGGTGTGGGATGTGAGTGTTGGTGTGGGTGTGTGATTGTGGATGTGTGGCTGTGGTTGTATAAGTGTGGATGTGGATGTGGGTGGGTGTGGGTTTGAGTGGGTGTGGGTGTATGTGGGTGTGTGTGGGTATGTGTGGGTGTGGGTATGGGTGGTGTGAGGGTGGGTGGGTGTGGGATCTGTGGGTGGCCGGAATATTAGATGCATCTACCCACTGCTACATCCACCCACATCCACAACACACATCCCACAGTCCACACCCTCTGGTAGAGTGTTTTGTTCCGCATCGATTGATTTATGTTTTTGTTTTTCTGTGACGGGAACTGAGTTCAGAGGATTCGTCGAGAATTTCTAAACTTTGATCTGTTCGTGTTGATGAAAAGTATTGCGTCTATTGTTTTTTTTCGAATCATCGGTTGTTAGGTGGCAGCCATGTCCAGGTTGTTGTCCTCCAAAGTGGAATATTTGGTGTAATTCGGAATATTTTTGTAAAGCATTTTTTGATTAGTTGATTTTCGACGAATCAAAATTTTTTTTCTTCGTGATAATTATTTATGTTCGTGCTAGCTTCTCATCGATAGAAAATAATGGAAAGCAAGTGAAAGCAGAAATAAAAGGAAACAAAAAAAAAGCATGTGGCGTATGCATCATAGATATGTCTTGCCAATACACTTTGCGCAAGTAATAAAACTAAAATTTTTATCGGCTTATGCTTTGATTTTTCTCTTTTAAAAGATAATATTCTTGTTTTGCATAAATATTTTGCACGTTGTTATTATTTTGTCCAAAATATCTATGAGTTTGATTGAAATAGAGATAGACAAAGTCCGTAAACGCTTTAAGCAATTGCGTGCTTGGAAATCAAGTGAAAAAGATCCGTTTGTTGACAGTGGCGGATCTAGGAAATTTTGAAGGAGGGGGCGGATACAATCAAGTTATGGACTTTATTCGTGATGATTTTCCTAAGATTTTCTATTATCATCTGTTCATATTTATATGATCCATAAAATGCTATGATCAATTGCAACAAGAAAGAACTTAGAAATAAGAACAACAAAGAAATAAATTATCCAAGAACAACTTAGAAACAACAACAATTAAATAAATTATGCAACAAAGTCCAGCTTTCTATTCTTTCGCTTTGAGAACTTGTCGATGACTTGTTCAATATCAATGTTAATCATTGGATGCACATACATCATTGCAAGTCCATTTAAACGATTTTCACTCATGGTACTTCGAAGATATATTTTTACCAGTTTTAATGTTGAAAAGCTTCGCTCGCCTGTGGTAGTTGTCATTGGCAACGTGGCATAAATTTGTAAAAGAACTTTGATTTTCGGAAAGAAGGTACCGTTGCATCGAACATAAGCATCAATAGCATTGTCCGGGCGATCTTCTAGTGCCTCATTGAGCCATTTTCGTTGGTATAATTGAAATTCTTCTTTAATTAAATTTGGTGATGGTAAATAAGCTTCGTAAAAAAGAATAGAGTCTTTCAAATCATCGAAAGACTTATGTTCAATCATTGATGGAACAAGAATTGACACATTATAAGCCATCCATTGATGAGCACTAAACCGGTTAGTTAAAGACACAATGAAATGATCCATAATAGGAATAAATAAGTTGACTCGATAATATTGAGGGTGTGGTTGTGGGTGCGTGTGCGTGTGCGTGTGCGTGTGCGTGTCTTTTATCTTTGTGCCCATACCCACACATCCACACCCACACCCTCAAGTGCATAGAATATAGATGTGTCCTAGTAATAAGCAGAAAGAAAAGAAAGAAGGATTGTAATAGTGTGGCATCACAAAATAAACGATAAAAAGGTCTTCCAAACAATTAAAGAATGTACTAGTAGCACTTTTGCCAAACAACTGCATTTGGACGCATATATACGTCGCCAGGACTCAAAGGGTTAATGCATTTTCGACAATTTTTCTACAAGCATCTCTCACTGGTTGTTATTTTCACTTACGCCAGAGTATACATCGGCATTTACAGGTACGATTACTACATTTTGACAGTGGAACCCCTACAAAAACGATTTACTTGTACAATATAACTTTTATTCTAGTCCCAAGGGCTACAAAAAAAATATGAAGATGTTTTTGATTTTGCTAATGGAATACATAAAATTGCTGCACTGACATTTATTAATCCAAAAGATGTTGTCAACGCATTTGCCGAACTCAGTATTCATCTCGGCGATCGATTTCAATCTATGTTGGATTATTACGAAGACAATTACATTGGTTGGTTTCGTGCTAATGGTTCACGTGCACATCCATTATTTGGAATTAAATACTGGAATGTCTATGATCGGACGAAAAATTCACAAATGAGAACTAATAACTCAACAGAAGCGTGGAACAGAAGAATTAGTAAGCATATGACAACAGATAAAAAAATTAGTTAACTGAATGTTCATGGATTCTTTTAAGAATGTATTTTTCAATGTTCACATCCTACTGTATGGAAATTTACGGACAAATTAATTTTTGAAGAAGACTCACATATTCATACGAAGATCGGCAGAGTTAATGCCAGTGAATCGGTTTCAAAGAAGAAAAAATATCAACATCTGGATAAACCAAGGGGGAAAAAAGCGGATCCCGGGATCCTCTGGATCCTTCGGATCCCCAATGTATCCTCTGGATCCTCCGGATCCCCAATGAATCCTTTGGATTCCCAGAGTATCCTTTATATGTTTGCTATAGTCTGTACATCATTAAATTAAGTTAAAAACTCAACTGTATCAATGAAAACCTTTAGAAAGCACATAAGCGGCATTTGAATTTCATGTCAGGCAATAAAAACCAAAGAGAAAAGACCTTTGTCAACATCAAAAACCAAAAAAATATCATCAGTTACATGAATATTGAGACTACTGTATCGAGCAAAGTAGTTAAGGGGGACCCCCCCCCCTCAGAAACCAACTTTGTTATTTTTCATCCGATTTCAACCAAAATTTCAGAGAATGCTAGTCTTGGCTAGAATAGATTATGGT